GCTGCCTAATTTTAGAATGAAATTTAATGTGGCTGGTGTGAAAATCTTGTGTAATGTTCCCTGCACAATGGTCTTAGAGCATTTTACAGTGTGAAGGATCCCTGTTGTGGTACCAAACATGAGTTTAGAGCTGAGGGGATTTGGGCCTTTGGTGTTTTCCAAACATCAGGGCAAAGTTTTCTGGGCTTTTACTGAGCTGAAAGGGCCAAAATCCCCCCAGGTGGGTGAAAGCAGAACGGTAAAAAATAACCAGTGTGATTTCATGTCTCACTTTTAAATGGGCACAGAACTGTGGGTGGTTTTTTTCCTCTGCAACAACTATTTGGGTGAGTCAAACAACCGCAGCCCTGGCAGATGAAACGTTTGGCAAACGCTGGGTGTTCGACCTCCCCCGCGCTGCCCCAGCACGGAGGAACCATCTCTTCCTAACCTGTGCCTAATTTAGGGCCTGATCCCATCCAGAGATGTCGTGGAGGAGGTTGTGCAGCAGAAGCCATCGAGCTGGTTTGAGTTGCCTCACACACGAGGGTTGACGTGCTGGGGTTGCACCATCCCTGCAACTCCCTGGGACAGGAGCCCGGCGTGGAATTGTTCCCAGGTAAACAACCTTTCACTCCCCAGGTCATGCTGTAAATAATAATCAGGTGGAAAACCCCCAGGAGTTTTGCATATCTCCTTCATTTAGCTCGTGGAGTGTCCCTGTGTGGGGGTCTGGGCAGGGAACAGCTTTTCCATTGGGTGGGAACAGCTCTGGCTTCGGCAAGAGGCAAATTAAGAACAGAATCCCAGAATCCCACAATAGTTGGGGTTGGAAGGGACCTCTGGAGATCACCCAGACCAAGGCAGGGTCACCCACACAGGGGCACGTCCAGGTGGGTCTGGGATGTCTCCAGAGAGGGAGATTCCAAGCCTTTCCTGGGCACCTGTCCCACCCTCCATGGAAAAAAGCTCTTCCTCATGCTGAGGTGGAACTTCCTGAGGTTTAGTTTATGGGTATCACTCCTTGTCCTGTCTCTGGCACCACTGAAAAGTCTGGCACCGTCCTCTTGCCATCTGAACCTTCTCTTGCTGTTGAAAACACCGTATTTTAATTCTATTAAAACCGATGTTACATTTAAGTGTGGCTCTAAAATACACATAAAAAGTCTTGGCAGAAACACTTTGTCCTGTGGAGATTCCTCGAGGATCCATTTGTGTTTTGGGTGAAGGAGCCAGAAAAGAAAGAAATAATTCAAATATTAAAACTACCCACAGGCTAGGGAGTTTTATTTTCCAGCCCAGGACACTAAGAGAGGAATCTTTTCCTGTCACCAGTCAAAAACCACTTCTCCCAGCTCAGCCCCGTGTGAGGAACACAAGGAACACGTGGAAAAGCCGCCCTGTGGCCCATCCAGGGGCACTTCTGCCGGGTCAGTCACTTCTTCTGCCTGGGGGACCAGTGGCTTTTCTGTTTGCACTGCTGGCCCTTGGCGCTGGGCACGACCACGGGGCACTTCTGCTGCTGCACCACCTGGGAGCACCCACCCACCCCCGGGCTGAGCTCTGGGTCTGAGACCCCCCCGAGGGCGTAGCCGGACCCTCCACTGTAGTGTCCTGCTCCCCCAGTGACCCCCCCTGCCACGGCATCGCTGGGGGGTGCAGGGAATCCGTATCCAGACCCTGCTCCCAAATCCCCGGCGGGGAGGATGGAACCCCCCCTGCCCCCCAGGCTGTGTCCCCAGTCCCCTCCTGCCCCCCTGGGGGCATAAACGGGGACTGTCCCCCCCGTGAGGCTCCATCCGGAGGTGCCCCCGCAGTCCCCGCTGGTGATCACCACAGACCCCTCCCCGCCACACGTGTAGCCCCCCGAGATGCTGAAGGGGGGGGACGCTGGCACGGGGGGGCAGTAGGAGGGCCGTGGGCTGTAGGAGGGTCGTGGGCAGTAGGAAGGTCTCCGGGTGTAGGTGACAGAGCCCTCCCTACCACAGGAGAAGGAGGCGCTTCCGTGGGGGTCGGAGAAGCTCCCGGAGCAGAACCCTCCGTGGCCCAGGGAGATCTCCCGGGAGTAGCCCCGGTGCCTGTGGGCACATTTCCTTCGGAGACACTGGTAAAGCTGCGAGAGGAAAGAAAAAAAAACCACCTAAGTTTGCCCAGTTTTGCTTCATTTCGCACCGTGGCAGGTGGGGAGGGTTCAGGTGGTGGGGAGGGTTCAGGTGGTGGGGAGGGTTCAGGTGGTGGGGCAAGAAAAGCTTTGTCGGGGCCTGGGGCAACTCCAGCCTTCAAAGCAGGGCACTGCTGAGCCCTTGGAGAGCATGGAATGGTTTGGGTTGGAAGGGACCTTAAATATCACCCCCTTCCAACCCCTGCCACGGGCAGGGACACCTTCCCTAGACCAGGTTGCTCCAAGCCCCTGTTTTTCAAATCCAAGGGTATCTGGACTCTTCCTGGGAAAGTTTTCCTCCTTTTTATCTCCAGGGTGTATTTCCAGAGAACCAAAATCTGAGAGACATTCTTTTTCCATCTAAGAACTGCCGTGGCTTTCCCCACTCACCTTCACGTCTGCAGCTGCAGAGCTGCAACAACAGCCAGGATTATCCTTGTTTCTGTTTTCAGCCTGGTGCAAGAGCAGTGGATCAAAGTTTCCACTCCCCAGGACGTTTCTGGCTCTGTCATTGCACCCCCAAAGGTCTTTTGTGGAAGGTAATTGGCCCAGACACAGAGGTTTGTGGCCATTCTGAAGCAGAGCTTGTTATTAAATAATATCAAAAATGGGTCCCAGGCTTTGCAAGCACTTTCAAACCCACAAAGGTTGTGCAGTCACCACGTGCTGGTCCCACCACAGACTAATCTGGGTTTTGCCCTCTGGCTCCCAGTCTGGTGACTGGATTTCACCTTCCTCCCTAAGGATTTGATCCATCCAGAAGAAACTGTCCAGATCCCAAGGACTTTGCTCAGGCAAGCACAGTCAAGGTCCCAAAGGAAGGTGCCTCCCATGAATATGAATTAATAAAGTCTCAGAAAAAAATCAGACTTACCTTCTTGAACCATAGGAAACACATTTAGAAGGTAAAAGTCGACTGAATGAGGAGCTTTAACAACCTCAGGAACATTTATATGGTGTTTAACATATATGGGAAGTGAGACACCCTCGGGAATGATAAGGATTATTTACCTATCAAACTGGGATTTCAGTGTTTGACTCATGGCGACGATCCATATCTCCCTTCACCCAGTAATTGTTACTCCTGCCTAATGAGCCCGTTCCTGAGCTCCTGCCCTGGGCTGTGGAGGAACATTCCGGCCCCCAGAGAGGTGGGGGAGACCTGGGGAGGTGGGTGGGAACGTGGGTGTAGGGGAATGCAGAGGATTAGGGAGCGTGGGGCAGAGGAGCAGCTGGTGGCTCTTTGATCCCTCCAGCAGCTCCAGGGGGAGATTTTCTGAAGGAAAAACATTTGCATCCAAACCAGGAGGTCACCAAAAGGGACTGATTCCCCAATTGGGAATTTTGCAAGGGTGCTAGAGATGCTCTGGGAGGTTCATGAGAGCACTGTGGAGGTGAGAGTGTCCTAATGCTTAAACCCAGCGTGCTGGACGGTGTTTTAAGGCAGGATCATGCCTCCAAATACCTTCCTCCTTTTCCATACCCTCCTTCTGGCTTGGAAAGGGGGCTCAGGGTGGTCTGGAGGGTTGCAGGTCCGAGCTGCTTCCCCACCCTGCTCCATCCTGGCTCTGCAGAGCAGCTCGTGCAGTTTGGGCCAGGCCTGCTCAGCTCCAGGGAATTTTGCTGTGGTGACAACAAGTCCCAGCTTTGGCCAAAGGCCACGTCCCTGGGGAAGAAAGCCTTGCCCGGGGTGCTGGTGCTGCCACAGCAGGTTGGAAAAGCCTGGGCAGGGAGGGATTGGAGGCCTGGAGGCATCTTTTGGAGTGTGTGGAGCTGCCTGAGGGACTTGCTGCTGGTTTTATTTCCTTTACAGCCCTGGGGCTGATTTGGCTCCCTCGGTGTGTGGGGCTTCCCTCGGGGAACAGATCATGGAATCCCGGAATCACTGAGGCTGGAAAAGCCCTCCAGGATCACCGAGTCCCCCCTGTGCCCCATCCCCACCTTGTCCCCAGCCCAGAGCACTCAGTGCCACATCCAGTCCTTCCTTGGACACCTCCAGGGCTGGGGACTCCCCCACCTCCCTGGGCAGCCCCTGCCAAGCCCTGAACACCCTTTCCATGGGGAAATTCCTCCTGATGTCCAACCTGACCCTCCCCTGGCACAGCTTGAGGCCGTGTCCTCAGTTGCCCTGAGGTTTGCAAAGCTGAAGGAAGTTGGAGGGTGGCAGGGACGTGATGCTGTTGTTCACTTTGGGCATCCACAGCTGCTCTTGGGCCATCCCCAGTTCCAGCTCCTCTGAACTGAGCCTGGTGGGCCTGGTCAGGTCTCCCATCAGCTCCACAGACGTGGCCATTGGGTGCTGGTGCCTCAGAGGACGTGGGACCAGGAGCTGGAGTGGCTGCACCACGATCAGGCACCAAAGGGGAGTTGGGTGCTGTGGTTATTTGGCATTTTGGGCTCTGCTGTTCCTCTACCATGTAGAAAACGAAGGTCCAAACACTCTGGGGCAATAAAGTGGGTTACTTTAGAGCTTCACCTACAGCAAAGCACCACTGAACCCATCATCTCCTTTACAAGGAGGAGTGAAGCACCTCATCAGATGGATTTCTACCTTCCAAGACCAGGAGATGCTGGTTGGAAACATGAGAAATAAACAAACTTCCCAAAAAAGGCAGTTTTGAGCTATTATAATATTTATTAGATATAAAAGGGGCCTCTGGAAAAGCAGCACAACATTATCAAAGGCCTCCCAACACCAGCAGCAGGGCACCAGGCATGTCCTGGAGTTCTCAGCACAGGGATGCAGCATCCAGGGAAGAGGAGAGGACACAAGGGAAGGACCAGGCAATCAGAGCCGGGTCTGGAGGTGCCCCAGCAGAGGCTCAGCTGGTCCTGCTGGACCTGGAGCTGCCCCGGGCTGTCACTTCTGGCCGGAGGGGAAGCAGCAGCTCTGCTTGCTCTGGTGGGACACGATGCTGGGGATGGCGATGGGGCACTTCTGCTGGGAGGACCCTCCAGAGCTGATGATGATGGACTGGCCTGAGGAGCCGCCCCCGGATCCTCCCCCGCAGCATCCAGAGGATCCTCCACCTCCCACGATGATCTTCCCTCCTGAAGAACCCCCACCACATCCTCCTCCCATGCCATAGCTGGATCCTCCACCACAGTATCCAGAGGAACCTCCACTGCCTCCTCCTACAATGATGGTCTTTGATCCTGAATATCCACCACCGTATCCTCCTCCCATCCCACAGCTGGATCCTCCACTGATTCCACCTCCAATGATGCTCTTTGATCCTGAATATCCACCACCATACCCTCCTCCCATGCCATAACCACCACTGCTACCTCCACCTCCAATGATGCTCTTTGATCCTGAATATCCACCACCGTACCCTCCTCCCATGCCATAGCCACCACTGCATCCTCCACTACCTCCACCTACAATGATGGTCTTTGACCCTGAAGATCCACCACCATAACCACCACCGTATCCTCCTCCCATCCCATAGCTGGATCCTCCACTGCAGCATCCAGAGGAACCTCCACCCACAATGATGCTCTTTGATCCTGAGGATCCGCCACCGTACCCTCCTCCCATTCCGTAGCCTGAACATCCTCCACTGGAACCTCCACCTCCAATTATGACCTTGCCTCCTGAGGACCCACCACCATATCCTCCCCCCTTCCCGTAGCCACCGCTGGATCCTCCACTGCAGCATCCAGAGGATCCTCCACTGCTTCCTCCTGCAATGATGACCTTGCCTCCTGAGGACCCACCACCGTACCCTCCTCCCATGCCGTAGCCGGAGGAGCAGCAGGATCCACCTCCTCCACCCCCAGAGCTGATGATGACCTTGCCCGAGCCCCCGCTGCCCCCGCCGTAGCCGGAGGAGCCCCCGCAGCAGGAGGAGCCCTGGGACTGGAAGCCGGAGGAGCCCCCGCTGTGGCACCCGCTGGACTGGGAGGACATCCCGTGGCAGCCCCCGGAGCTTTGCCTGGAGCACATCTCGGAGCTGGGAACCTGCAAGGAACAGCACGGTCAGAAAGCAGAACCTTGGAGGGGCAGCTGAGCCTTCACAGTAGCCAAAAAAATGGAAGAGGACCCAGGAAATGCCCCTTTTGCCCCATTCCTGGAGCTTTAACCTCCCTCACCCCTGTGAGCTCCCTGGGAGTGCCCTGCAGGGCACAGCAGTCACAGGAACACTCTGTGTGCAGGGAGATGGTGAGCACACATGTGCACACGTGCTCTGACATGTTCTGAGCTGGCAGCCTGAAACATTTCATCCCGCTGGAGATCCCTCTGGGTGCCCAAAACTCCCAGCAGCCGAAAATTCAGCCCCAGAGCATCGGCTGCAACTCCCCCCTCTAAGGAAGGCAGTTCTGTTGGCACATCAGGTGGGTTTCTGGAGCCACCATGGTTCCCTCATTCAAAGAACCCTCAAAGACCAGCTGGTGGAGGGATCTCCCTGCATTGGGGTTCCAGAATTTTCCGTATCAACGGTCTTACCTTCAGTGGATCTGGGAACTGTGCGATGCTCGGCGGCGGGTGAGTGAGGAGCCCTGGGATGGGTGAGCTTTTATATCGTGTACATCGAGCTCCCGAGGGAAGTGAGACACCCTAAGGAATGCTGAGAGGTTTATTGACAGAGAGCTTGGCTCTGGCCTCCTTCTTTGAGTCACTTGCAGCACAGGGGTGATGGGAGGGAGATGCATCAACCACTTTCTGCAGCACAGTTTGTAATTCTATTTAATGATTCGCTTCCGGGAGCCTTGTCCTCAAACGCTGGGGGCAAACGGCTTCTTGGGGTCTGATCTGGGGGCTCCCTGATGTGTTTCTGATGAGCTGCAGCTTCTTGGGTGCTCAGCAGAGAGTGGAGATGCTGAGGGGTGGAGGATGGAGTGAGTTTGGGCCAGAGAGTGATGGAAGGATGAGGGTGAAGGATGTGCTGGAGCAGAGCTCCAGAGAATTTTGGAGAAGGGGGTTTCCTCAAGGACTGGCAAGAGGGGGAGCTGGGTGGGGAGCAGGAGTATGTCCAGTATGTCCTTTCCTGCTGGGAAGGACTCAACAGGCCAGAGGTGCCTCCTCAGATGGAGAGCACTGCGTTGGAGCACCTCAGCCCAGACCCATTTCTGAGGACACTGTGAGGGTGACAGAGGCAGGGGAGACATTTCCCCTCATTCTTTTGGGAGTCTGAGGTGGAAGGGGCTGTTGGACTGAGCAGAGAGGTCTGTGCTCAGCTCCAGCTCCCAGGGGTCCCAACCTCCAAACTGGAGTGAGCAAAGTCTTGAAACCCTTCTGTTTGCAAAGGTGCCTTTGAAGGCCATCAAGCCCCTACCCTTGAGCTCTGGGGCAGGAAACATTTCCTCTGCCTCAACAGGACCCATTTTCTGAGGGTCCCCACTGACCAACCCTCCCACACGTGAGCTGGGCAGTCACCTGGGTATTCTCCTTGCTGCAGAGGGACAGTTTGCCAGCACAGTTGTCCCAGCACTCATCCTGCCCCTGCGTCACGCGTGCTTGGAGCCTGACAGCAGATCCACCCTCCTGGGACACTGAGCAGAGAGGGAGTAATTGGGGATTTTAGCTGTCAGGACTCCTGACAGCAGCAGGAGGTTCCAGCCCCGTCACCATGAACGTGATTTTGGGAGTGCACACACAACCCCTGTGGTATGGGGACAGGACCATCAGCACCAGGAACACTCGTGCAGGGGGGGTTCCTTCACTTGGCTTGGGACTCCTTTCAGTGCAAAGAGCCTTATCTGTGTTCTCATCACCAGATCTGAGGTGTCACCGCAGTCCTGGCTCTGGCTGAGCGTGGGTGTTGTACCTCTGAGGATCTCAACACCGTGATCCCTTCCGTGCACTGACGTGTAGGGACTTGCACAGAGGGACACCCAGGACTAGCAGCTCATCAGCACACAGGGACACCCAGGATCAGCAGCTCTTTGGGACCCAGGGTGTGAGGAAAGGCCGTGGAGGCTTTTGGAAGGGGTGGTGAGAGGGGCTCACAGTCCAATGACGGATTGTGGAGACCCCAGGGTTGGACCCTGCAGGGACTGGAACCACTGAACCCTTGGCCAGATCCCACAGTCCCTTTTCCCAGAGCTTCCTTCGTGCCCAGCAGTGCCAGTGTTGGTAGTGTGGGACACGGTGAAGGTACTGCTGGGGTGAGAAGAACTCCCCAGTTTTTGTCCAGGAGGCAGAAGCTGCTCAGTCAGGATCCCTCAGGAGTTTGAATGGCCAGTGATTCCCTTTAGTCCTGATTCTGTTTCCTCCCCAACAATCATGTTTGTGAGATGGACAAAACCCCTCTTGGCTTCAAGTTCACTGGACCCAGGACTAATCACACCTGTCCCAAAGGTGGCTTTGGGAGTCCTCTTTGAGAGGACTTTCCCACTTTGAGAGGAAAGCATCCATGTCCTGGGCTGCATCCAAAGGGGCGTGGGCAGCAGGGGAGGGATGGGATTCTCCCCCTCTACTCTGCTCTGGTGAGATCCCCCCTGGAACACTGAGTCCAGTTCTGGTGTCCCCAACATAAGAGGGACATGGAACTGTTGGAGCAAGTCCAGAGGGGGCCACGAAGTTGATAAAGGGACTGGAGCATCTCCCCTATGGAGAATTGTTCCCTGGGAGGGTGGGGAGGCCCTGGCACAGGTTGCCCAGAGCCTCTGTGGCTGCCCCATCCCTGGGAGTGTCCAAGGCCAGGCTGCAGCAACCTGGGATAGTGGGAAGTGTCCCTGCCCATGGCAGGGGATGGAACTGGGTGAACTTCAAGGTCCCTCCCAACCCAAACCATTCCATAATTCCACGACTTTCTGCTGATTTCTGCACCCAGCCCTTGGGATTTCCTTGGGAAGGGAAAAGTGAGGTGGAGCAATTTCCCAGGTTAAAGTTGCAAACCTTGGGGGACGTTACTTGCAAGAGGGACAATGACCATCTGCTTCCACAGGGAGGTTTCTCTCAGGGAAGATCTGTCAACAACCCCCTGCTCCAGCACTGGAGGCCGAAGAACATTCCACAGCTGAATGTTTTTGATGCATTATTCATTTTTTGGGGAAGTAAACAGGGGCCTTACAAAGGCTAAAAGCAACCTCACACAACCAGTCCTGTCTGGACACCGAAATCTTTATTTTCAGTCACATTGATGGCACAGAGGAGCCACCTGGGAATTCACAGCTCTGGGATGTAGCACCAAGGGACACAAGGGCAGAGGGTGTGCACGGAGGGAGCAGCAAACTGGGAAGGCAGAGATGTGCTGGTCCTGCTGGACCTGGAGCTGCCCCCGGCTGTCACTTCTGGCCGGAGGGGAAGCAGCAGCTCTGCTTGCTCTGGTGGGACATGCTGGGGATGATGATGGGGCACTTCTGCTGGGAGGACCCTCCAGAGCCTCCGCCACCTCCAGAGCTGATGATGATGGTCTGGCCCGAGGAGCCGCCCCCGGATCCTCCCCCGCAGCATCCAGAGGATCCTCCACCACCTCCACCTCCCATGATGATCTTCCCTCCTGAGGATCCACCACTGGATCCTCCCCCGCAGCATCCAGAGGATCCCCCCCCTCCCATCATGCTCTTTGAGGAACCCCCACCGCATCCTCCTCCCATCCCACCACCGGATCCTCCACTACCTCCCCCTCCAATGATGATCTTCATTCCTGATCCACCACCAGATCCTCCTCCCATGCCACCACTGGATCCTCCCCCACAGCATCCGGAGGATCCTCCCCCTCCCATCATGCCCTTTGAAGATCCTCCTCCCATTCCACCACCAGATCCTCCACCACA